TTTACAGAAGTGACAATTATTGCCTTAAAGAAAAAACAAAAGCTACAAAATGCAGAGACCATCGCACAGTAAGCCTTATTGCACATACAGCAAAGATAATAGCAAAGGTATTTAAAAGAAGACCTGAAAAGAAAATAGAGGATATACATGGAGAGGATCAGTTAGGATTTAGAAGAGGCAAAGGAACCAGGGATGCAATTGGGATGATGAGAATTATAGCACAACGAACTTTGGAGATAGATGAAGAACAGTGTGCTTGCTTTATAGACTGGCAGAAGGCCTTTGACCATGTAAATTGGACCAAATTAATGCAGATCCTAAAGGAAACAGGTATCAATTGGCGGGAATGAAGATTGATTAGTAAATTTTCATGAATCACAAAGTTACGAGTGCGGCTGGACAGAGGGGAGACAACAAGTGTGAAGACTGGAAGAGGAGTTTGACAAGGATGCTGTTTATCACCAATTTTGTTCAACTTGTACAGCATATGCCTTACCAAGGAAACTGTGGATGGGCTTGGAGACTTCAAATTAGGAGGGCAAATTATTCAAACTGTGAAATATGCAGATGACCTTGTGTTAATGGCTAAGGAAGAAACTGTGCTACAGGGTATGATTGATAGACTAATCGAAATTGGAAGGTGCTATGGCATGGTAATGTGGAAAAAACAAAAGTATTGAAAATTTCAAGACAACCAACCCCAGTCACAATAAAGATAGACCAAAAACAACTGGGGAATGTGAAATGTTTTAAATATTTGGGTAACTTGTTAACAGATGATGGAAGGTGTACGTGTGAAATTAAATCTAGGATTCCCATGGCAAAAGCTGCATTTAGCAAGAAGAATCTTTTTACCAGCAAACTGGACTTAAATTTGAGAAATAAACTAGTGAAATACTATATTTGGAGCACTGCTTTGTATGGGGCTGAAACTTGGATACTTAGGGCAGTAGATCAGAAACACCTGGAAAGCTTCAAAATGTGGTGTTGGAGAAGGACGGAGAAGATCAGTCGGACCGATTATGTGAGAAATGAAGAAGTGTTATTTAGAGTCAGTGAGCAGAGGAATATCCTACACGAAATACGAAAATGGAAGCCTAATTGGTTTGGTCATGTCTTACGCGGTAACTGTCTTCTAAAAGAAGTTACTGAAGGAAAGATAGAGGGGCAGATAGAAGTGACCAGAAGATGAGGAAGAAGACGTAAGAAGATGCTGGATGACCTTGGGGACAGAAGAGGATATTTTCATTTGAAGGAGAAAGCTCTAGGTCGCATCAAGTGGAGGAGCTGTTTTGGAAGAGACTGTGGACCTGTCGTCTTGATAGATTACTGATGATGATGTACAGGTCATTCTCAGACAATTCTTTCGAGAGTTACAAAAGCAGAAAGACTATATGGCTGGTTCCAGCAAGGCTCAGCTACTGCCAACATTTCACGTACATCTATGCAGGCTTTGTCTAGAACTTTCGGGGACAGAAATATCAGCACTGGCATTTGGGAGGCACATTCACCTGACCTTAATTCTTATATTTTCTTCTGTGGTTCTTTGCAGGACAAAGTTTAAACAGCAAACACCACTTGGAAGAAATAAAAGAAATGTTCATAGGGAAATTGCAAAAAATCCTGCACAACAGCTTTAAGGGTTAATAAGAACATTTTCTGCTGATGCAAGGAATGTCTGTGTGTAGGGGGACAGCATTTTCAACACCTTCTATGACCTGAATTGCATATTTCGTTCCAAATATTAGCAGCCACAGGCATACTGATTCATTGACAAAATTTGTATGCACCTTGCAGCCAGTGGCGCATCAGTCGCTGTGAACAGGCCGAGAAAGGTAAGAACCTACATCTATATACATATGTTGTGACCTGTTGCGCTATGGATGATGCCCCTCCCTCCCCGCCAGCCGTGACGTGCCAAGCGGAGCGAAGTGAGCCGAGTCCCAGCACGCTGGTTGCTATGCAAAGCGAGTAAACAGCGGTGATGTAACACGGGATGCCACAGTTGTTACATAGCCGTAAACAACTCCCAACAGCATTGCTAGGCTATCGGCAAACATGGCGTCAGACAACAGTGGTGCCTATTACGTAACTGTTTTCCCGTTGTCCAGCTGAGGGTTTATAAGGGAACTACACAGCCGCCGAAGACAGTTCTCAAAGCAGCAGCCTACGAGTTGGGTTGAAATCTAGCCAGCAGTGAGCCGTTACAGTTGAGTTGGAATACAGCAGCCGTCGGGGAAAGAAGAACTGGACGCATGTGTGATAATCAGTGATAGTTTGTGATAAGTGAGTAATAATTGGGAGCGTGACACAGTGACACTTGTATAGCTCCTGTATCGTAATTAATACGTGTAGACTACTGAGGACAGAGTGAATTGATTAGTGCATAGGGTTTGTAAACTGTGGAAACCCTCAACAGTGTTGTAATTAATTGTAGTTACAACTTGTAGGTTGTTAAATAAACCAATTAATAATCTGAACAGCATCTTCAGTAACGAAACACGTTACAATATAAATATTCTCTGTACGATCTCATATCTAATGTTTAGTCACCGTTCTGTCTAGAAAACAACAAAAGAAATCTGTCATAACAACCCATCACCTGACAGCAGGTACAGGGGCAACTCCAACAGTGTCAGGTATATTAAATTTACTTCACACAAAGGGAAACAGCCAACATGTGTCTATAATCTATCACACAGTCACAAATCTTTAGAGAATCATTAGTTATCCTAAAGCAAATCCTCAACAAAATGACACCTCTCTGTTATTATATGGATACAGGCTGTAAGGGAGAAAGAAAACAAATGATAAACTTCAGCATTTATAGATCCTGAGAACCCTATGATGTAGTACCGAGGCACGGCTTAGTGGATTGGACAAACAAGGAAAATGTGAAGGATTGTTCCTGCAATGGAATTTACTGCACACATTCAGTTTACACAAAATCTATTTTCATCTAAAATATTAGACCCGTTTAATGAAAATGGGAGTGGTACATCACACGCAACATTCAACATAGCACAGTTGCCTAGAAACATTTCAGGGGGAAAAAAAACTTTCAAAACCTAGTCAATAATGCAGTGGAGTTGTTTCATGTTCACAGAGAAGACAAATGGCATTTCTGCACATCTGTGTTATCTGCCTAACAGTGCACATACAGCTCACCTCAGGTTCAGCCTTTATTTCTGGAAATGTTGTTAGGGCAGGATCCTCTTCCTCTTCTGCATGTGAGACTGCCTCAGCTTTTACATTCATGGCCTGATCTGCATCATGAGGTGTTGGGTATGTCTCACCATATGAACCCACTAAAGTGTTCTCTGAATTTGTATAGCTCTGTAAAAATCATCACATCCTTCTCAGAAATGGATGCACAACACCACACATTAAACAGCATATGCTTTCCTTGCTGTGGCTGTTTCTCATCACATCTAACCCATAAGAGCAGTTATATATGGATGCGCTTCTCTACAGCTATCAAGATCACTAACCAAGTACTCAGTTCATAGCTCAGTGACTTTCCTGAGGAATGATCGGTCACTGCGGCAGTACAGAAAATATCTGCTTTTTTTGTTCCTAAAATCATCATAATGAAGAGCTAGACAACTTGTAACCTTCGTTCACCAAGCATAATTAAAAGGATGAAGTCCAGGAGGATGAGATGGGCAGTTCAAATAGCAGGCATGGGGGACAAGAGGAATGCATATAGGATATGGATCAGGATAGGGACCTGTGACGGGTTCTTGCGAACATGTCAATAAATTTTCTGGTTCCCTACAATATTGGAAAATTCTTCGGTGGCCAAGCAACTGGTGGCTTCTCAAGGATTCACTCAGCTTCATGAAATTATTTATTTTACCTAAATGCTGAAGTCAAGGAGGATGACATGGGCAGCTCATATAGCAGGCATAGGGGAGAAAAGGAATGCATACAGGATATCTTTTAAGAGATGGGTGATTTAAATTCCCATAATCGCAGCAGGCCGCAGTTAATTTAAATGTCCGCCATTGTAGAGTATTAGAAATTGTAAGCATGTTACTGAAAATGGTGTAATTTCTACAATTTTTGTGATAAACCAACGAAATAAACGCTGCCTTTATCTAGAAAGAATATAGAATCAGATATTGTAATTTACAGATTTTAGAATCTGTAAAAATTGTTACACTGATTCCAAATTTTTTTTTCCCAATTTTGAGCATCTGTCCATAAAAATGCATAAAGCTTCTGCACAAAACGTTTCTGCAGTATGCAGTGTGCGTGCCGCTGTTATTCTTTACTACGTAGTAGTAGTGTAGTCCTGTGTAGTGTGACTACACAGGATAACGCCCATACAGTGTGGAAACAAGAAATAGCCGCTGCAGCACTTTAGACATAGGGCGAGTAACCCTAACAATTTAAAATTAAAAAAAAAAAAAAAAAAATTAGAGAAAAAATTTTAAAGGATTTTAAAATTTGAACTAAAGATTTTATAGTGCTACTACAGGTACGTCAAAATTAACGCGTGTAAAATAATCTACATCCAGACAGATATCAACGAAGTAGATGTTGATAATAACAAGGAAAGTGTTTTAAATGTTAAATTTTGGGCTGAGTGCAGTGTGACAGCGACGTGAGTGTTATACACCTGATGATGGCCGTCTGAGGACGAAACATGTAGTGTAGGTGAACAAGATCAAGGACACATAATATATTGTTTGCACTTGGGACGGAATTTGTATCATTATATCATCGTATGGAGTGCAACAGGATGCTTAAATATAATATTGCATTAGAACTGCTTAAAAGGAAATAGAAGTGGTACATCACAAGCAGCATACATTCAACAAACTATACTGTCTAGAGACACTTCAGAACAAGGCCTTCAAAGGCAAGTCAGCAGCACAGCGGAGTTGTTCCATGTGCACAGACAGCCAGACAGATGGAGATGAGATAGACAACTGGAATTCCTGCCTATCTGTGATATCTGCCTAACAGTGGACATACAGAAGCATACAGCTCACCTCAGGTTCAGCCTTTATCTCCTGAACTGTAGTTTGCAAAGGATCCGCTACCTCTTCTGCATCTGAGACTTCCTCAGCTTTTATATTCATGGCCTGGTTTGCATCATGACTTGCTGGGTATGTCTCACCACAGGGACCCTCTAAAACTTTCTGACTTTGTGCAGTTCTGTAAAGGCATCAAATCTTCTATCAGTCATGGCTATATAACACCACACATGAAACGATATATGCTGTCCTTGCTGTAGCTGTTTCTCATTAGATGTAATGCATAACAGCTGCTCTGTACAGATTTCTTCTCTACAGACTTCATAATCTTAGCAAGTGTAAAGTTCATAATTCAGGGACCATCCTGAGAAACCTGTGGTCCCTGTGGAAGTACAGATAATACATATCTGCTCTTTATGGAACCTAAGCACTCATTACTGTGTTCACACATGACCATCATCACTTTGCATCCTGCCACAAACAACCCCAGTCCAAACTCCCCAAACTTGTATCTTTAAAAAAAAAAAATCAATCTTCACAATTGTCTCCCAAGTGGTCTCATTCTTTCAGGTTTTCTGTCCAAATCTTTTTACACATGTCTCATTCTCGCACGTGTGCTACATGACCTACACATATCACTCTCTTTGAATTAATCCCTCCTACATAATATTCGAAACTGTTATAATGTAAAGAACCATGTAAACTCCCTGGATGGATTATGAAAAGTAATAAGCTTGGCATAAAAAGTTTAGTTTCTTAACACTTTGAGGACTGGCAATTTAAACATTTATATCACCCTGTGGACCAGCATTTTTAAACCTACTATCCTAACTTGTACACTGTTCACTTCAAAAATTAATATAAAATGTAATTAATTTTATGAACTAAAATTTTTGGAGAACACTTACCAATGCTCCTAGAAGTGCTTGAGGGTGTGATATTTTTCAAAGCATTCCCCTCTGTGAAGTGGCATTACACAAAACTTGCAAATGTAGGCAGTCCTACTCCTTTTCTTGTGAAATGCACAAACACGGCATTGCCTAGAAGGCTGCTTCCCCTTGAAATGTTCACTCTTCACAATTTTTGAGAGGGTATGTTTCCGCATATCACCCGAGAGTCGCCCAGGGGGGTCAAAATGAGGCCTGCGTGGGGTGGGGGTACACGGGCCTGGTCGCGCTAAGACTGTGTCTGCCGCCGGTTCTGCTGCCACCATGTGGTCTGTAGCCCAGGCTTTTGCCACATTCAGCAGAAATGCTTTGTATTTCAATTTTGAATGAGGGTTTAAATTTTTGAAAGCAAAAAATGAATTGAAAATGGCACAATTTATAAGCCACAAGGCAACTTTCTTTGTCCACTTTACTGTTTTCCAAGGAAGAGAATAATAGGCCAAGTGCTGATCGGCTCTATCAACTCCCTTCATGAACATATTATACTCGGAAATACAAACAGGCTTCTTTACCTGTCCATGTCTCTTTTGAACATCAACCATGCTCGAATTGTGAATTGTGGAAATCATATTCACAACACGAGTATCCCTCCAGGACTGAAGAAGAATATCCCCCTTCCTCCTGAATGTGGTTTCGCCACGTTTCAGGGATTTACATTCCTCTTTCAGATCTGGAGGAAGGCCTCTGTTCACCCTAATTGTTCCACAAACACGTACTTTTCTCGAAAGTAGGTATTCTGCAGTTGCCACACTGTTATAATAATTGTCTTGATAGACATGGTAATTTTGATCAAGATAGGGTTCCAAAACGGAAACAATAGTTTCTTGTAATTTTTTGCCTTCACCAGAATAAATTTCTAAATTTCCAATATAGCCTGAAGTGCTTTCAGTTACTACACGAACAAGTAGGCCATACTTTGTAAGTTTCCCGGGATTATATGTTCGCATATGAAGCCTTCCCCTCCAAGGAATCACAGATTCGTTCAAAGACAGGTGTTGGTTTGGCTTATAAACTGTCTGAAATTTCTCAACGAAAAAGTTCAATAAGGGCTGAATTTTGAAAAGCCTGCTTGTTGATTGTGGTTGCAGTTCATTATCATTGAAATGCAAACACCACCAAATTTGTTCAAATCTCTTACGGCTCATTAGTTTGCCAAAAATGGGAATTTCTAAAAATGGATCTGTTGACCAATACTCTTTTAGATACTCCTTCTTTGTATGCCCCATTAGGAAGATTATCGCAAAAAATTTTTTCATTTCTGCTGAAGTGACATCCACCCACTTCAACACCTTATAACTTCTGTCATATTCTTCACGGTGTTGGAGATAGTATCTGTTAGTTTCCTGACATAGCATGTCAAAGAAACTATCTCCAAAAAAAAGTTCCGCTACTTCAGACATTTGCGTTGGGTCTGATGGAATTTGCTTCACCCCTGGGTTTCCAGTAAACTGTCCCAAAGCAGGCGTTTTGTCTAGTTTTCCCCATGTGTCTGTTCCCTCAATGTTGCTACCCGCACTTTTGTCAGAGCTACTGTCACTTTCACTTTCACTTTCACTTTCACTTTCAGTGTCTGTGGCCACAATTCTTTGTTGTCCCCTGTCACTGCCACTGTCTGAGTCACTATCACTACTCCTCTCACAAGGCACATCAGATAGCTCATCGGAGAACAAGTCAGAAATATCTTGCTCTCCGAGAGATTGCTTGGTCTTCAACCGCTTATTCTTACTACACCCATTGCAACAAAATGGCCTCTCCCCACTATGTATGTGTCGATGTGCTATCAGAATTTGCTCTTGACTGAATGAATCACCACACTCATCACAGGAAGATTGTTGCTCCTCACCATGCACAGGTTGAAGTTCATTCAAATTACTCTGGAAAATGAGAGTAAATAAAATAAAAAATCCTAAAATGAAGAGAAATGAGTTTGAAGCCCCAGTACAGTGAGATGTTAAATAGTGGGGTGTGAGAGTGGAGACAGAGGGGTGAGGGAGGGAGGGACAGAGAGAGCACACCCCTCTGTGTGGTGTGTGTCTTGAGTCCATCAGGATGTATGGAGGTTTCTGAGTCAACAGAAGTTAAGCTGCATTGCCACTGTTTAACAAATTCCAAATTAAATAAAATTATGCATTTGTATGGCTGGACAGGCATCTAATTAATAGTGGAAAGGCTCCTAATATGAAATAACAATAAAGGCTGAGCTAAAAAATGATACTAAGAAAGGATGCATATGGCCCAGCAAAATCCCTGAAACAATATATATAAGGCCTCAAAAGGATGAATAGCATAGTGTCACCACACGTGTCTGTAAACTGAGAAGGTAGCATGCCATCCATGTAATATTTTAAAACAGGAATCATAATCCCACAAACCACAAAACAACTTCTGCACCCATTCAAAACAAATAAATATACTGCATTAAAATAACAATATTTTAGATGTATAAATTCATGATGTGTATGTACTGACCATCTTCTAGCGCACACAATCTCACTTGTCACATCACTACATGTTTCAGCATCACTGTGCCTTCCTCAGGTGTGTTATTTACGTTAAACTATTGCACTGCTCGCCATCATGTGTCGTTTATAGAATGATTTATGTATATTCTTCATGTACTATAATAAAATTTATATATTAAAATTTTGTAAAGATTTATCATCTTATATGTCGTATTTCAAACTCGCGTATTATATCAATTTTCCGCTATGGGAGTTGCATGCAGCCACAAGAGGACACATCACTAGACGCAGTATACACAAAATATAGGAAGAACGACTCCCATAGGCGAGTTTGAAATACGACGTATAAGATGATAAATCTTAACAAAATTTTATTATAGTATATGACAAATATACAGTATAAATTATTTTATAAACGACACATGATGGCGAGCACTGCAATAGTTTCAGGTAAATAACACACCTGAGGATGGCACAGTGATGCCAAAACATGTAGTGAAGTGAAAAGTGAGATTGTGTGCACTAGAAGACGGTCAATACATACACATCACAGATGGGAATAAGTGCAACAGGACGCTAAAATACAACATGCATAAATTCAATACATCAGTACCTTGATTTTGCAACTGTCACTACCAATGCGTGTTCAGAGCAGTGTCATATGGCAGACTGATGCAACAGGCTTTCAGAAGTGTGACCTTGGCCTCCCATTTCACCTTCTTTCACCGAGGCAGTTACAACAATAAGAGTCTGGGAACTTCCCGATACCACCTCATATTGAATGCTTTTTGTCTTCGTTGTGTTTATCTTTAAGTAGATTTATCTTTTTGTATTTGTATAGGGAGGTTCTTATGGTTGTAGACTGGTTCAGGGCTCTGCATTTCCCAGTGGCCAGCACACAGCCAACTGAGTCAAATACGAATTTTGCCAAACGAATTAGCATGCCTGATTGTCGATAATGTTTGGAATTATTGGAAGTTATTAAATTTGTGGATGCCTTGATGGCATTATGTTTCACGGCAATCAATGCAGTTCATGTGTGGTAATGTGTTTATGATTTGTCAGCAGTGGGCGGCAGTTATCAACTCCATTAGTCATTTGTTCTGTTACTGTTAGTGAGCACTTTGTTCTATCATGATGCAGTATACTTTAGAGCAATGTGCATTTCTGTATGACACTTATGTCAAATACAATTCTGCTAGTAAGCACCGGTGAAAATTTTGTGATGAAAGAGTCCCAGGAGACAAATAATTCAAAATTTGGTGAATAAACTTTGATTAATGACTCTTAATAGACAAAAAACAAAAGAATAAGAGCCCAGTGCTCAATGTCTAGCTCAAAGAGATTGAGTGTTACAGGAGAGTGCAAGAAGGACAACATTTTAGAACAAATTCTTTGATATATTGCACAATTTTGACTCCATGTTTTGTACTAAAAAATAAATTTCAGACTGGACTGTTGCTCCAATATGGCATAGAGTTCAAGTGCATGAAGTTTGAATTAAAAACCATATTTTTGACTGTACTGTACTTGCAGTTACAAAGGCAAAATATGTGGAATGCAACATTTATAACCTGGCTAGCTGGCTTTCCCCAGTCTCCATCTTACTATAGTATTGCGACATGTTTGCAATCCAGAAGAGTCACTTCTATGGAAACGCTAGAACAGACCGTTGCATAGGAAACAACAATCGCTCTATTGTAGTTCTAACAGGAGTCTCCATGGTTATGACAGAGGGTTCGTTGCATAGCAGCGACCGAGGCTATAAAACGGGGTTGAATGCATTCGCACAGTGAGTCTGCTATAAACTGCCAGAGATGACAGTCCAGTATCGCTGAGATATTGTAAGCAGTATTTGTAACACTGCAAGTGGTAATGATTGTAAGGTGTGAGCGAGCAGAATAAATTTGCTATATCGACCACGGCGTAAATTTATTTGTAGCATGACACACAAAACACGCTACAGTATATACCGTATAGTAAGATGGAGACTGAAAAAGGCTGGCTAGCCAGGCATATACCCATTCCAGTCTTAAAAGTATTCTTCAGCTTGACTTTACAATGCCTAGAGTGAGTACATGTACTTCAAGGAGCGCAAACTTGCGTAGTTTTGTACAAGAGTTTGGTGACAAAGTGTTTAGTACCAATGGAGAGATATTTCATTACAAGCTGTGTGATGTGAAAGTTACGGCAGAGAAGCGATTTACTGTGCAGCTGTGCACTGTAAAACTTCTAAACATGTTAAATGTTTAAGCAGATTATCTACAAAGGACAGAAGACAAAGTTTGTTGTTTAAAAACCGTTCCGCTAATTCTTCTTCTTCTTTGATGAACAATGGGCCGCAATTTTCAAAAGATCTGTGTCAATGGATAATCAGCACTTCAGAACATTTCTGGAGACATACACTTCTCATCCTATCCCAAGTGATCGATGTTAAGAAAAATTCTCTCTCTACATGTTATGAAGATATGTTAAATAAGATTTGAACATCTGTTGCTGACAACAGGGTATGGGTTTCCTTGGATGAGACTTCTGAA